GAGCAAGGCAGGGGACGTGAAGCAAGCCGGAGCCCGCTGAGCGGAGGGAGCGAACAGGGTGGTTGGGGTTTAGGAGATCGGATAAGTGGGGGGGAGCAAGACCATAGAGGGCTTTGAAGGTGAGGACCAGGATCTTGAACTGCTGAAATGCTGTGCACTGTTCAGCGCCTTGGGATATCCTCCCGACGTGAAAGGCGCTATACAAATATAATCTTGTTGTTGTTGTTGAACTGTATCCTCTGTGTGATGGGAAGCCAGTGGAGTTGGGCAAGGATGGGGTGATAGGGTCGCGGAGCCAAATGCGGGAGAGGACACGGGCTGCAGAGTTTTGGATGATCTGCAGCCTGTGGAGGGAGGAATTGGGGAGGCCGACAAGCAGTGAGTTTGCGTAGTCGAGCCTCAATGTAATGAAGGAGTGTATGAGGGTTTCGGTGGCCTGTGGTGTGAGACAGTGATGGAGCTGGGCGATGTTGCGGAGGTGGGGGAAGACAGAGCGGGTAGAAAGGATAGTTGAGGGTCAAACAAGACCCCAAGGTTACGGACTGACTTAGTAAGGTGGACTGTGCATCCTTAGATGGTGATGCTGTCAGCCTGAGGTGAGGAGGCGCTGACAGGAGCCAATCAGGAGAGCCTCGGTCTTGTTGACATTCAACTGTAGAAAATTAGCTCTCATCCAGGACTTGATGTCTGACAGACATTCTGTCAGGACAGCAGTGGTCCTGGAGTCAAGGGTGGAGGCGGAGAGGTAGAGTTGGGTGTCATCCGCATACATGTAGAAGTTGATCCCATGTCTGTGGATGATGTCACCAAGAGGGAGCATATAGGTATTGAAGAGGAGGGAACCAAGGACAGAGCCCTGAGGAAGCCGCACGAGACAGTCCGGGGGCTAGAGAAGCTGTTTGAGGAGATGAAGTGCAGGCGGTGTGAGGGGTACGATTTGAACCAGTCAAGGACAGCGCTGTGGAAGTTGAGGTGAGAGAGGCAGTGGAGGAGGATAGAGTGGCCGATGATGTGGAAAGCAGCAGAGACGTCAAGGAGGATGAGGAGGCAGAGGGAGCCCTGGTCGCAGCTGGACAGAATGTCATTTATCACTTTGACCAGGGCTGTTTCTGTGCTGTGGGCGGCACGGAAACCTGATTGGAGGGGTTCGAGAAGGAAGTGGCGGGAGTAGGAAGGAGTGAACCTGAGAAGCAACAACTCGTTCCAGGACCTTGGAGAGGAAGGGGTGGTTGGAGATGGGGTAATAGTTAGGGAGTACAACAACAACAACTTGGATTTATATAGTGCCCTCCACGCTGGACGGCGTCTCAGAGTGCTTTACAGTTTAGGATCCTGGGACCGAGCCAGGGGGAGGGGTGGGAAGGTGACCAAAGATGCAGTCGAAAAGAAATGTTTTCAGCAGAGAAGGATAGGAGTGATGACAGATATTGAAGAGGAGGGTACCAAGGACAGAGCCCTGAGGAACGCTGCACAAGATGGTATTCTGTACAAGACAGTATACTACTTTGGTGGTAGTGCACGTAAATCGCTGTCTCACTTGAAAACTGTGTTTGGGGCCCTAGACAGTGGTATTGGAGGAGGAGAAAGGGCAGGTATTGCATCTCCTGAGCTGGCATAGGAAGGTGCTGGTTGGAGCAGTGCAACTGTTGGTGGTGATGGAGGAATGAACCAGGGATTCACGGTCCCTTTGGAATGCTGAAAAGGGCGGGGAGGGAAAGTTATGTTTGGTGGTTGGATCACGCTGGAGGTGCCGGAAATGGCGGAGAATTAATTGTTGGTTGTTGAGGCTGGTGGGGTGGAAGGTGAGGACTAGGGGAATGCTATTAGGGTTCTGGGAAGAGGGGAAAGGGGTGAGGGCAGAGGTGCGGGAAATAGGGCGGACATGGTCAAGGACCCTGCCTACCACAGTGGATGGGAATCCTTGGTCAAAGATAAAGGAGGACATTTCAGTTGCTCTGGTGTGAGAGGGGGCATTGTTAGAGCAGATGTGGCAGAGGCGGAGGAACTGGGAAATGGGAATGGAGCCTTTACAGGAGGTGGGGTGGGAGGAGGTGTGGTCTATGGGAGTTGGTGAGTTTTGCACGTCCAGCGTGGACCTTAAAAGCCTCTCCCTCTCAACATGTCCCAGTTCTGGCAAAGGGTCGTGGAGCTGAAGTGTTGACTCACTTTCCTTTCTCCATAGATGCTGCCTGATTTGCTGAGTTTTCCCAGCTCTCTCTGTTTAAGTTCAATCCTGTCTTCACTTAATATCCAACATGCATGTGCTTTCCAGAATTAGTCACTTGGTAGTAATCAGTAGTGAACACAATGCTGAATGTCCTGTTAATTTCCAGCACAAATGCAACCGTATATCAGATTGAATCAATTGAGTCAATGTATTCAATTGTGTTGAAAATAACAATAAAAAAATCCTTACATTTGATAAGAGTGCATTTCATGCTGGGAAGTCATCTCAAAGGGCTTCACATGACATACTATAAAGTAGTGTATCTTAAAAGCTATATTTGCACACATCAATGTCCCACAAATAGCCACAAAGTGAAAGACCAATTCTATTTACACTGTCCAGTGCCTTGGGACGTTCTCTCGACGTGAAAGGCGCTATCAAATGTAATCCTGTTGTTGTATTTGGGGGATTGTCCTCACCTTTAAAGCCCTCCACGGCCTTGCTCCTTTCTACTTCTGTGACCTGCTAACTTCCGTATCAGCCTGTCCGCTCCCTCAGCTCAGCAGGCTCCAGCCTGCTCCATGTCCCCCGCCCAGTCCGTCCCACCATCGGCGGTCGGGTCTTCAGCTTCCCTGCCCCCACCTTGGAACTCCATCCCACAGTCCCCTCTGCCTCGCTTGTCTCTTTCAAGGCACATCTCAAGACCCTCTTTTTCGATCACGTCTTTGGCAACCGTCCTTCCCCTAACCCCCTGCCCTCCACCCCATGATCCCAACCTCCATCTTGGGTCCAAATCCCAGACTGTCCAGCGCCTTGGGAAAGGCCTCCTGACATGAAAGGCACTACACAAATGTAATTTGTTGTTGTTGTTGATAGGGAAGGTCTTTTTATTGAATAAGAAGAAAATCCTGTTGGAACATTTAGAGGGACCAAAGACACGACAATACTTACAGTAAGGAGGGTCCAAAAGTATTTTGACTTTGTAGGGATTTTGTAGCATTTTGACTTTGTCTTTTCTCCCCCACATCCGTGTCATGACCCGCTCTGCCTTACCCCACCTCCGCAACATTGCCCAATTCCGCCACTGCCTCACCCCTCAGGCCGACAAAACCCTCATGCACACATTTGTCACCTCAAGGCTCGACTACGGAAACTCCTTGTCGGCCTCCCCAACTCTTCCCTCTACAAGCTGCAGATCATCCAGAACTCTGCAGCTCGTGTCCTCTCCCACACCAGGCTCCTTGACCCCATCGCCCCCACCCTCGCTCGGCTCCACTGGCTCCCCTTCCCTCAGAGGATAGAATTCACAATCTTCATCCTCACTTTGAAGGCCCTCTACGGCCTTGCCCCCTCCTACATCTCTGACCTGCTGATCTCCTATCAACCTGTCTGCTCCCTCAACTCCCTCAACTCAGTAGACTCCAGGTCTCCCACCCGACCTGCCTTACCATCCTCCATCCCACAATCCCTTCGCCTTGCTCCCTCCGTTGCCTCCTTCAAGGCACGACTCAAGACCCTCCTTTTTGACCATGCCTTCAGCCGCGCTCCTACCCCCTCTGCCCACCCTCATCCCAACCGTGCACCCTCACGCTTGGGTCCTGATCCCTGACTGTTCAGAGCCTTGGGACGTCCTCCCGACATGAAAGGCGCTTTACAAATGTAATTTTGTTGTTGTTGTTGTTGTAGGGCATTTAGTTAAGGACCTTGGATTTCAGTGGGCAGTACGTAAATGATTACAGTACAACACGTGGAAACACTGATAAGATTAAAGGGTTATGCAAAAACATGTTTACTGAAATATGTCTGAGATTGAAAATAATGCAGAAAAACCCATACAGATTACCAGGTGAAAATAATGTACAGTTCCTTTCCTGAACTCTTAACAATACATGTTTAGAATTTGCATAGAATAAAAGGATTTACCGATTTACAGCCCTGGTTAAAAGCCTTGCTGCAGACAATTACGTTGCAGTTCAATTTGAAATGCATGGAATATAAAAAGAAAATGTTCAAAAACTGTGATGACAAGACTATGGCATTTCTTTTGTTCTTAAGCCATACATTATTTCTGTAACAAAACTTTTTGTGTCAGAGTGATCCAGTGTGTGATTCACACAATTATAAATATATTCACAATTCCTTTGTATTGTCACTCTAATTTTAAAAAAAATTAATATCGCGCAAACCCAAGTTAAACCTTGAATACTGTAGTAATGGACAATTTTGAAGAAACTGTACTTAATTTTTACCTGGTAACCTGTACAGGTTTTGCTGTGTTATTTTTAATCTCAGACATATTTCTGCAAACATGCTTTTACATAACACTTTAACCTAATCAGTTTCCATGTGTTTTACCGTAACTGTTGACCTACGGTCTGCAGAACTCTGAAGTCCACAATTAAGTGGCCAACTAGTCAAAATATCAACCTGGTGTACCAGTCTTTGAGAGGTGTGATATAAAGAGGGTGATTTAAAGAACTCTTTGTCAGAGAACAACACTAAACAATGTAATGGATTGAGGTAAACGAGGGATTGCTGTCATGTTGCACATTTCACTACAATATTAAATGAATCCAGCATTGCAAAAACACAAACATTTGACTACTGCATTCTGAATCTGAAAGCTGATAACAATTATAATAATAATTCCATTTATTACACAGAAGGGTAAAATTTGGGTCAGATCATAGTTTAATTCTCCGGTGGTTAATAAAATGATATGAATTTTTTAAAGTAAACCATTTGATTAAGTTTGCTGAATAATCAGCCGTTTGACCTGTTGAATTTGGATTTGTTAATCTGAGAACAGTTTTCCACCTAAAACGATGCATACCTTGTTCGTAGAATAATTTCATATTGGCGTCTTTGCTGGCAATCAGATTGTTGAACAACGATACCACATTTTGCATGGCGCTGCCCAGCACGTTGTCTTGGTGCTCCTGTAAATCAGGTAAATGAGTTCAGTGCAAAATTAGAAAGAGTCTTGCAATCTAAAAAGCATGTCACCTCAAAACATGAAAGAACATATGACAATAATCTTTGCGTTTGATATAGCTGTCTTCTAATAGTCCCATGAGATTTTTAATGTTCACGTGAACAGGCAGACAAGCTCTTCATTTAATGTCTCATTCAAAGTATGGCCACTGCAACAATGCAGCACCCCACCCACCCCCAGCAATATATTCCAGTATCATCTTAGACTGTGTGTTCAAATTCCCGACCTGGGGCTTGAACCCACTACCTTGTAAATCAGAAGCAGGCTGACACTTGTATGTCACTTATACCTGGGTAGTGAATTGCAGGTGCTTTTAATGGTGCTGTGTTTCTTTTAATTTGAAATTTGTATGAGTGACAAAGACACAATTTCACATTCAAGACCAAAAACAATGAGGTACCCTCATACATGCCTGCAATTCAACCCTGGCCATCTGTTTTTTTTGTAGATCATATTCTGAACACTTTTGGCCCTTGTTTTCATAGAGGAAAACGATAGGCATGCACCAGTGTAGGGTGAATTGCTGAGGCAATAGCCAGTCCTGAACAACAATGGACATGTTACATAGAAGAAGGCTGTCTGATGATGGAGGTGCAAACCCAAACAAAAAAAGGCATGTCCTACCCCCTCCGATGGCTCAGCTGCACAAACATTACATACTGTGAAACTGAGCTATTAAGAAATGGAAAATCCCGGGTTCAATTATTAGTTTGTGCTGAATTAGCTGCTTAGTCACATTACCAGTTGTGGCACTACAATTGTTTGTGTCCCCCGGGAGGGGGAAAATCAGCCATGGTTCCCCATTGCCTCCTTTCAAAAATATGTGTGAAAGTTGAGGAAGGACGGAATTTGACTTGGTTTCAGGAGCTGAGTGGTAACAAGAACAACAGCAAACAACAAATTGATTTATGTAGGAACGCCTTTTATGTCGGAAGGACGTCCCAAGGCATTGGGAAGAATCACAAAATAATCACAGAAATATGTTGTAAGTCCCATGGGCAGGCAGACTGATAAATCATCAACAGTACCATGAAATACTGTATACATTCAATGCAGCCCTGCTATAATGTGCTTCATTCTCGCGTGATTTCATTATAATTTACTTTAAGTTTACTTACTCCACACGTCTAATAATAATCCCTCCAAAACAATAATAAATCGGTCATTTTCAATCCACGACTGTTTGTGGGACACTGCTGTGCGCAATTGGCTGCCGCATTTTGCCCACAAATATACAGTCAATTCACTTTACAGTCTATTCTGTGAAGCGCTTTGAGACATCTAGAAGACGTGAAAAGCACTATATCAAATATAAGAATTATTATTATTATTATAATTATAACTCTGCTGCTCCTGTTCATAGGGCTATACCCACGCTGGCCTGCTTGTTTCCCATCACTTCATATGCTGCTTTACACATGCGCAGAAAAGAGGAAGTGACACTCTAGGGACCTGAAGGTAGGTTATTTGTGCACATACACAGTAAAACGCATTATTGCTCCTTAGTATAATGCAGGGAGCAAACCAACTGTGTTACTGTAATTGCTCTGAGATGCTACCCTGCGCTCTATATAAGTGCAGGTTGTTGTACTTTATAACAAGATTGCACTGTATACAGCCTGGCTCAGATTCCAGATCATCAAGCCATCTACAGCAAAATGACAAGCCAAGACACTGAATGAAACTCTCTTCTCTTTTAAAATAGTGCCATAGGATCTTTAACACCCTTATAAATAGGCAGATGTGATCTTGGTTTGATATCTCAAACTACCGACCATCTCCAACCTCCCTTTCCTCTCCGAGGTCCTGGAACGAGTCGTTGCATTCCAGCTTTGTTTCTTCCTTGCCCTCCACACCTCAGGCGCTGACAGCATCACCATCCATGGTTGCACACTCCATTTTCTAAGCCAGTCCGGAACCTTGGCATCTTGTTTGACCCTCAACTATCTTTTCTACCCCACATCGGTGCCATGACTCGCTCTGCCTTCCCCCACCTCCGCAACATCGCCCGGGTCCTGCCACTGTCTCACACCGCAGGCCACTAAAACCCTCATACACACATTCATACCATCGAGTCTTGACTATGCAAACTCCTTGCTTGTCGGCCTCCCCAACTCCTCCCTCCATAGGCTGCAGGTTATCCAGAACTCTGCAGCCTGTATCCCCTTCCGCACCAGGCTCCGTTACCCTATCACCCCAACCTCGCCCGACTCCATTGCCTTCCCGTCACACAGAGGTTACAGTTCAAGATCCTGGTCCTCACCTTCAAAATCCTCCATAGCCTCGCTCCCCCCTACCTCCGTTACCTCCTAACGCCGTACTGTTCTTCCCGCTCCCTCCGCTCAGCGGGCTCCGGCCTGCTTCACGCCCCCCGCCCCACCATTGGCGGGCGGACCTTCTGCCACTCTGCCTCCACCCTCTGGAACTCCATCCTTCAGTCCCTCCCCTCGCCCCCTCCCTTGCCTCCTTGAAGACCCATCTCAAGACCCTCCTCTTTGACCTTGCTTTCGGTCTGTTTCCTCTGTTTTCTCCGTGCTCTCCACCCTCCCGATCCCCAGCTCGGATCCGAAACACTGATTGTCCAGCGCCTTAGGATTGGGATGTCCTCCCGATGTGAAAGGCGCTATACAAATATAATTCTGTTGTTGTTGTTGAAGGAAGGCATTTCCAACATTGCAGCTCTCTATCAGCACTACATCGGAGCCAGCCCGACTATATTTACTTCTACTGCCAACGATTAGTTTTATTCTATTTTTATTTGTCAAAATATACCTGCTACACTAATTAAAAGCACAGTATTACGCTGTTCAGTAAGTTTATACAATGATGTGTTTATATTGCTGCTGCAATATAGACACACTTCATTAGATTACCACCAAATCTAACATTATCTTCTACCTGCCTTTCGAGGGGAACAACACTCAGGACAACAGGGTTAAATGCTCTACCCTGCTGCCTTTGAATGTGCTGGCTGCTGTTTTTCTAGCTTGGGGTGGGCAGAGCTGTCAAGCCACCCCTTACAGCCAAGAATATGTTTTTGATGTTACCGCCAGTGCTTAGTTTAGCAGAGCGTATGGGGCGGGATCTTAGCTTCAGTCAGCTTAAAGTATTTTAGATCAGGTTCTGTTTGAACCTGCAAGGCAAGTGTGCCATAAAGTACACCGATGATTTATTGAGGCAGAGACTTTTCAAACAACAATGTCTAAGAGGCACCGGGCAGCTTTTGTTAAAAAAAAAGTTTCTACTGATGAAAGATAATTAAACTTGAAAACACCATCTTCTTTTGTTTGACTATGTAGGTTCAGTTCCCTCATTAAAATGTACAACCTCCAACACTGAGACGGTCATTGTTCACTTATGAATAAAGAACTCACTCGACCTTGAAGAATCAGTAATATATAAACAATTTCCTCAGCACTACCCATGGCCTACGAGCTCCACTTTGCAACAGCTTGGAGAACATCACAGTCTAAGAATCTTGCAAAAGCACTGGATTTATTTATGCTCCATTCAAACTGCAGTGAGACCTCTTATGAACTTTTTTTTTGTAGTAGTTCCTCACATTTATTTTATGCTGTTTACTTTTTAATATTTCCAGTCTAAGAGTACTGCTACATTCAAGCAAAGGGATATTTCAAAATGATCAATTAAACAACAACAAATTTATAAAGCATTTTATATAGCAAATGAAACCAATTTCTTTGTAAATGAAAAGTTTGTACAAACAAAGATCCTGTTTACTCTCTAAAATCAAGGTGTGAGCAGTTCTATGAGCTGTAAATCTGTTCTATTTCTGATTTTTGCTTTCAAATAAGTGGCACATAATGGAGATTTCATGAAGAAAAAAATAATTAGATAATTATTTGGGGAGGAGAAGTTTGCAGGGCTATGGGGAGAGAGCGGGGGAGTGGGATTGAATTGGATAGGTCTTTTCAAAGAGCCCGCAGACACGATGGGCCGAATGGCCTCCTTCTGTGCTGTATAATTCTATGATTCTATGAAAACATTAACAACAACTTTCGTTTATCGAGAGCGCTTCATATTATTATTATCATTATTATTTGGAGCGCTTCATGCAGGGTGGAGCCTTACCAATGTGCATAGGTTCACACCAAACCGGGGAGAAAGGAGAGGTCACTGTGGAAGAGGACACTCTTCAGGTGTGACGTGAGATGGGCAGAACACTTTTTTTTCCAATTCTACTAATGTCTGGCAGACATCAGGGCCTGGATTTGTGCAAACTTTTTCCAGCTAAGCATTGACAAGATGGAAGCCATGCTTCTTGGCTCCCGTCAATGTCTTCTGTCCTGCAGGTATGACTTCCTCAACCTACCTGGCTTATCCTTCAGACTCACTGAACCGGTGCGCAACCTAGGCGTCAGGTTCGACCCACAGCTGTCCTTCCTTCCCCACATCTGACCAGGACTGTCTTCCTCAGCCTCTGCTACATAATAATAATAATCCTTGTATTTGATATAGTGCTTTTCACGTCTTCTAGACGTCTCAAAGCGCTTCACAGAATAGACTGTAAAGTGAATTGACTGCATATTTGTGGGCGAAACGCGGCAGCCAATTGTGCACAGCACTGTCCCACAAACAGTCGTGGATCGAAAATGACTTATTGTTTTATTATTGTTTTGTTTTGGAGGGATTATTATTAGGAGTGTGGAGTAAGGAAACTTGCCCAAGGTTTCGCCCTGACCTGCCTGGAATTGAACCCAGGTGTCTCGCTTGCAAGGCGAGTGCTTTAACCACTGAGCTACAGGACTCCACATTACCCCAAACACAGTCGAAATACTCATCCATGTCTTTGTCACCTCCCACCTTGACTACTCAAATGCCCTCCTCACCGGTCTCCCAAGCTCCACTATATACAAAATCCAGTTTATTCAAAACTCCGCCTCCTGGATACTACGCGTACTAAACTCCATACACCCATCACAC